TCCTCTTGAGGCGCAGTATTTATTACGCATGGAATTGTCCATTGTGTTATTATGGGTAAGGTCCCATAACAATAGCAATAATAATAATCAGAAGCGAATAATTAATGTATAAATACAGAAATGCCTAAAGAAATTAATATTAAATAAAGAATGAGTTGAAGACTAACAAACAACGCTACACACAAGCCAGAAAATAAGCACATTCTATCCCATAATTATTTTTACTCAAAATCCATGAATCTAATTTAAAATACAATAGTTCCTCTCTATGCAGCCATTAGAAGAGCACGATAAACTGGAAATAACTGACTTTGCTTCTCATAATACTCCACTGACATATATATATATATATATATATATAATCGAGCCAGCAGTCAAAACACATGGTTTGAAGAATCCAGCCATCAATTTCAGGTGTGGGGATGTAGAAATCCGTGGGTTGGTGTCCAGGAGTGCAGTAAGCTCACTGCGACTGTTTGGATCCCTTACTCTTCATTAAGGTCTCCAACTCGTTGAAGGAAAACTCTGACGTAAGACCTGTGGCTTTGTAGCGTCTAATAATGTTGATTGGTTCTTCCTTTAGGGTACACGCTCTTCTTGTTTAGAGAGTGGGAATGAGGCAGTGGGAAACGTCTTTGTCCACTTGAAAAATTTCATGCACGAGAATAGCTTGTTATCGTAGGTCGCAATTGAGACTTAAAATGATGTCCTGCGGTAGTCAGAATCCTCAACAAACATGGTAGCCATCACCAGTTTGTATGAATTAAATGTTTTTATCTCCACCATAATTTATCTAGCTTTAATGTATATGTCACTCTATTTATATCAACGACAGACACACACACACACACACACACACATACATACATACATACATATATATATATATATATATATATATATATATATATATATATATATATATATATATATATATATATATATATATGAAGAAAAATATATATAAAAAAAAAAAAAAAAAAATCCTTATATACAATTATGCAGTTTTAATGTTAATATGTTAACGTCGTCTTTGTCATGTTGTAATGTTATATTTTATGAATATGTCCTGAAGATGGTTTATTAGACCTAAACGTCCGACGTTGACATATTAACATTAAAACTGCATAATTGTATATAAGGATTTTTGTTTTGTTTTTTTCCGTATATATTTTTCTTCATACTGTCGGATCTATATCCATATATTTATTTACATATATATATATATATATATATATATATATATATATATATATATATATATATATATATATATATAATTGTGTATTTGCGCAGTAATCACTCTTTTATACAGATTTCATTAAAACGTTTGACAAGGTGTTGCGTCTAAGATTTTTATTTGACTACGATCAAAGTTAAAAGGAAGAACCTTTCTTGTTGGGATGTCTTCGTGGCTGCGTGATAAAGCACGCTGCATTAAACGGCTGTTTTCCATACAAAGGGCGACAGAAGATCGATCGCTTACGAGTAACAAATTTTTTCTGCCAAGTAAGGGAATTTTTTGATGTAAAATAAATAAATATATATATATATATTGATTGATTGAAATCATTGGTAGTTGCTTTCCTGTGTCGTGTTAGACAATTTTTCTCTTCAGAATCTATCTTACATATCTATAGGTCTACCATTAATTCATGTTTTGAATATTGCTGCCACATCTTGTCCGTTGCTATATACTGAGTGATCCTTGATAAAATCCAAAGAAGAACAATCACTTTCATATCGCTGTAAAGTTGCCACCCTCTGCCTTTCTGTAGATACATTCATGGAAAATGTTCGGATGAGCTCTTTGCCATGGAAGCTAAACTTTATGAATTTTAGCACAGTACTAGACTGGTGTCGGGATCTAGTACTTTTCTGCACTTCTCGCTTCTGGAACTCTTTTCTGACTCCATGTTTTACATTCAACTTTAATCTTACAAAATCTAAATGCAATGTCAATCGTTATGTACTGTCTTCCTGATTACTCTGCTATTGTTCTCGCTCTTTGGTAATGTTTCTGTTTTCTAATTCTTCCACACCCAGTCTTAGTGACTTTACTGTCTTGCTCGGGGTAACTTGATTTAAACACACACACACACACACACACACACACACACACACACACACACACACACACATATATATATATATATATATATATATATATATATATATATATATAATTATTTATTTAAAATATGATTCATATTTATGCTCTACTTTTGTATCGAGCACTATTTTTAAAAATAATAACTAAAATACTAGGGGACTTTGGATTATTTACCTAACCAGTTCCTTCCTATTTTCTATATATTTTCACATATATATATATATATATATATATATATATATATATATGGTGTACTCTCCCGTCGTATTCCTAGGAACCGACAGCCAGACACCAGCACATATGATATTTGATTTCAGAGTTTTCCTTCTCCTAGTCCATTTACCATCCAAGGCTATAAAACACAGTCTGTCCTGCTATTTACTCACAGCTGGAAGGGGAAGAAGAGAATTCATCCCTTTCCCAAGGGTATTAACACGTAAGTGAATTCGACCGGAAGTCGAACTTAGCTCTCCGATTCCTCAATTCGTGCCGCAATCCACTATCCATTTCTCGCATATGATTCGTTTCCACACACACACACACACACACACATATATATATATATATATATATGCATGCATGGAAACCAATCATATGTGAGAAATATATTAATATGAATGCAAGTTTCTATGTACGCTAATGTTTAAGTATAATGAAAAGAAATAATTGAAAAATTGAGACAAAATAGATCTACTTTAAATTTAACAACGCCATCTAACTCCTTATCTTTTATAATATCTAAGAACAGCAAGGAGATTTTTGAAAACGCAAAGATGGTCCTTATTCTTTTTAAGTCGATCTTTATTTGCAGACGACTACTTCCTTTTCTCACTGTTGGTCAAATCGCATTACAACTCTCGTGAAATCACATTTATCCTCATAACAGTTATATACCCTGGCAATGCTTTTCAGATTTAAAAGACCTTTGGAACCATTCATAAAACAAATAAAGTCTGGAACCATTCATAAAACAAATAAAGTCTTTGAGTATTTTTAGAGTGTTTACTTACGTTCTTCGCAAGTATAAATCTGTGAGGGGAATGATATATGTAAGAAATTGATGACGGGTACTCACCAAACCTTTCAATATTGATCAGAATAGTACTTACCTGCAAAGAAAAGAAATTACAAACAGTTAAATATATATTAATTAGAAGTATATATACGGACAATTAGAATAAAAGAAAATAAAAGAAAGTGTAGTCTTGAGACCAGCAGTTTAAAAAAAAAATTAATTCTTTTTTACAGCATCACGGTTTGAAAAAAGATACGATACTTTAATCGTAAACGCTGAAAAATAAACAAAAAAGCAACATAGAAAATGAAATAGAAAGAAAGGATCTATTGAAGAAATAACACCATCTCTATAGAGTACAAAATCAGGCAGCTGCGTGCTCTGGCATTCTCTATATACTTGTATGCATGCGAGACAGAGACGCTCGCAGCTGAGCTGAAAAGAAACGTACAGGCATTAGAAAGGTGAAGCCATCGCACCATACTGGGTATCTCATAGCTTTGGCCACATCGCCAATGACCAGGTAAGGAGCAAATTTAACCGCACATTGCCAACTTAACCCAACCCCAACCCCGGAGACCTCACTACAGTGAAGAAAAGGAAGCTGAATTGATATGGCTACGTAACGCGGTCGGATGGCCTTACAAAAAACAGTTCTTCAAGGAACCGTGGCTGGACGTGGGAGGAGGAGAGGACAGAAGAAAAGGTGGAATGACAATATCGAGCAATGGATGGAGAAACCTTTCGCAGGAACACGGGCGTACGACCGCGACAGATGGAGGTGACTAGTTGACTGCTTAGCACGTTGGCGCCCCAACGACACCTCCCAAGAAGAAGAAGAAGAAGAAGAAGAAGAAGAAGAAGAAGACGACAACGACGATGTGACAGGAAAATATTAATGGAATTTTTTTAAATGGTTGTAACAAATTTAGGTTTATTTACACTTCAGAAAAGATTCCTCAATCCGAGCTGCTATCCTTTACTCCACCATGCCTCCAATCGGTAGAACGGAGTTCGAATTCCAATCGGATCTATTACATTCACTTACTAGTAGTGTGCTAAGAGGATTCATACCTTTTGGGAAAGGTATGAATCCTGTTCTCCTCCCCCCTCCCACCAGCTATGAGTAAATAGCAGGACAGATCGGGTTCTACAGCCTTGGATGGCAACAGGTCTAGCGCAGAAAGAAATGGCAACCTACTTCAGGAAAAAAAAATCTGCCTGGTCACTCATGTATTGAAAGATACATTATCACCTAAGCATGTATCACGTATGGCACGTCATAGGTCCTTACCTATAACTACAGAATGAACTCTTCCTAACATTATGTATACTACGCCTCTCAAGAGAGAGGGTCGAATTGAGTCGAACCGTTTCGGCTTGACGGTCGAACTCTCTGCCTCTGAGCAGAGAGGAACCATGACGAGGCTACGCCGAAGGGTAGAGCCTCGTTCGGGGAGGTTGACCAACACGATTCTGTTTTTACAGTTTCTACGGGTATTTTTTGGTCGAGCCTACGGGCTCGGAAAACCCACATAAAACTCGGCCTTGTGCCACATCTTTCCCTCGTGGTGGGGGGCAAGTAAATATCGAATCGTGTCGATCTGATAGTAGTTCATTCCAAACCAGACTGACAGTCATACTAACACCTTCCACATCTTATATTATTATTTCGTGTAATATACCTTTTTATTTCTACTCTTGTGTTCGTTTTGTTCTGCCTTTGTCCTAACCTGGACCATGACAGCACATAACTGACTGACTGAAAGAAGAGAGGAAATCAGAGGAAATTAGACCGGTTGAAAGAATATATAATGCAAAAAGAATGGCATTCATTGGTGACTGACATGGAATGGTAGAAGATATCATAGGAAGGAATGTGGTGGAATACAATTACAATTAGTCAATTTTTTCAAGAAGTTGGAAAAACGTGTACGGGGAAATAATGGAAAGCGAAGTCGTGGTTTCAACTGGAACTTCTGTTCATACTTGAATTAGAAAGAGTTACAAATCCGGCCGGTCGAAAGGTTTTAGAAAACACATATAAATCCAAGGAAAACTATTGAAGGTAATTATTAGGCTTTTGGAGGTGTGAGGAAAATATGAATGGGAATTGAAAAGTAAACAAAGAAATATGCACACACACACACACACACACACACACACACACACACACACACACACACATATATATATATATATATATATATATATATATATATATATATATATATATACCCGGTGCAACAGCAAAATTGTCCAAATCGTGTAACAGCAAAATCGTACAATTGTTAGATTAAGATCTGAACCGTTTTATCTTAGAAATGATTAAAATATCTTACTGGAATACTAGGAGGTTTTTATAACATTATTAGATCTACTTTTGAGCAATAAGAGAGTATAATTACTCTCCAAGTTTAACAGAAGAATCGTGATGAAATCGATCATAAACAAAAAATGACATGTTCATCATTAATTAATCATGAAGCATTGAAATAAAAGTTCAAATATAATATATATATATATATATATATATATATATATATATATATATATGTATTTGAACTTTATTTCAATACTTCATATTCAAATATAAATTTCATATATATATATATATATATATATATATATATATATATATATATATTTGAACTTTAGGCATTTAAGAATGTTTGTGTAGATTTCGTAGTTTATTTTGTTCAGGTTAGGTTTCAACTGTTTTATGTATATAGCTTCAAAAATTTTAGTTTTTGTTTATAGTTTTCATGTTTAAGTATAGTTGGATATAGAAGGATTTTCCGGAATTGTGTACGCAGACAGGCATGTTTTTTTAAATGCCTATAATTGATAACAGAAGCCATCGGTTTATACCAACGGCTTCCCATTCTTAATAATTCTCGTTTTCACTCTCGCGTGGTCATGTGTGACGTCACGAGATGAAACGCGATTTTCGCTTACGCATCTCGTATACACGAATTAGTCGTTGCCTTGAGAATTTTTCACGCAACAAAAACACACTATCATTATTGTTCCGTGTATTGGTTGATATATTGAAAAGTAATCGTGATCTTTGATGGCTTATGTAAGCCGAAAGCTTAGATTGGATTTAAACATGTATCAATGTGGTGATGTCCGTTCGTCCTTCAATGATAATGTTATTAAGTTTATCAGACAATATGAAAGGAACTTACTTAAAATAAATAGACAAAATTTGTGTATATTATTTAATGAAACATGCATCAATGAAAAATTGCTGCCTAAATACACACACATAATATATATATATATATATATATATATATATATATATATATATATATATATATATATATATATATAGCTAGATAGATAATGAAGAAAGGGATAGAAAGAATGAGATAAATATAAGACAGCAAAATATAAATCTATGAAGAAATGGAAAGTCTATATATTTTGAAGTGTACACAATCCGACTCTGATAAAAGGCGTGGACTGAAATTCAGGTTCAATTCGAGCAAACTTGGAGAGCCATATGAAATCAGATAGAGAAAAAAAAGTAATATAAAGACAGGATAAATGAGTTATTATCCAAGATATTAAGACAAAACGAAAATGAATCAGGGAAGTAGTCCTGTCGATGTTTTAGAATAGTAGACATTTTAAATGCTTTAAAAGAGGACTGCGATTGGACTGATAAGTTAGTGACGTCATTTTACAAAGATCAGAGGCGCATCTGATGCTTCACTGACATGCACGAATCATCACCTCTCTCTCGCATACACACACACACGCTCTCTCCCTCGTTCTTTTTTCTTTTTTTAACTCGAGTACTTTCGACCTTTTCTAAGGTCATCTTCAGATGAAAATTACAACATAAACTTATTGTAATTGTGATAATATGTGCATTCTGTAGTGATAATAATTTTAAAATTCGGATTACCAACACACAAACAGAGAATGTCTCATATCGAGAATATTTAACATTGAACATGAGGAAAAATTAATTATTTTTAATAATATGAGGAAATATCCACTTTTACCTGAAGACGGTCGCGAGACCAGAAACACGTGTCGTAAAATTATGTAAAAAACAAAGCATAATATTTTTCTAAATAAATCCACATTACAACCAAAAAACGTTTGCAGCACCTCTTCTCTTCTTTTTATATATATATATATATATATATATATATATATATATATATATATATATATATATGGCACGTGTGAGGCTTTTCTCACCTGCGATGAAAATAATGGGAATTATAAGAATTCCCCTTATTTATACTTCATTTAAGAAGGTTGAAAATCGGACTGGACAAAACTTCGTTGAAAATTAACAATAGGTAAATATAAATAATTATTGAATTAACTTATTTAGCTTTTGTAGGTATTATTGGAAACTGTGATTCAGGTTCAAGGAGTAGATTGGTCTTTTTTTTAACTTTAGTTAAGAAGGGTGGAAATAATAATGGTCGAAACGTTGCAGGAAGTAAAGAAGAAAACAAATTTAAATCAGTACAAATGTTGCATTGGAAAAATTCGCTTCTTTTGGAAAAATATCGATTTGTTCGAAGTTCGAATTGGAAATTTAATTAAATCATAGTTAAGGTGGTCGGAAATAAGACCCGATAAAAGGCTGCAATAAACAAACAAGACATTAAAAATGAAACAATCTAAAAAGAACTATTGAATAGTACATGCATTCTTGGTGTGTGGGTAAAATATTTCGGGAAATTACGAGACGTGCATCAGAAATAAAGCGGTTGCAAATCAAGTTTAATTATGAAACCATATAAAGATGCCTTAGTCATTTAAAATTTAAGTTTAGTTACTTATTTCCTGAAAAAAAGGGAAAAAGGTTTCAAGGATTTGCGTTCCCATGGGAAAAGATATATCAACAGATTTATACGTTTGTATATACAATGTAATGATAAATGCGATCACCTTTTGCTTTTTAAGAATGTCTGGATCGATATTATTGACTGTTGATACATACACCTGAGCTTGTTCAGGCTAAAGCAAAATGATAGACATTTTTAGAATAATGGTTTTTGTCAGTGTGTTCGATTAACTGGTATATCTGTTTTTGCCAGTGACTGAGTGTACAGCGTCTGAACATTGAAGATGCGACTGTGTCGACTTGATTATTTAGTCGCATTTTCTCCTCCCTTGCCAAGGATTCGACATTAACGGTTAGTACATATTTAACATATGTTTAACATGACAGCCAAACGGTGTTACACGAATGAAACAACTTGTCTTGGCTCCAAAAATTGAATCGAAGATCATATTATGGTCGCAGCAGATGTAAAAATAATAAACACATTTTTCATTTTTTTTATTTTTTACATATTTGTTTCTTGGCCTTCTATGGAAAATTTTCAAAAATGTTAAAAAGATGTGAAGTTTCATATATCATATTTTTAAATAAAATCCTTTATTACCACCAATGTTAACGAGGCGTTTATTGGACGTCGAAACAAATATACATTTTTGTCACGGTACAATATATATATATATATATATATATATATATATATATATATATATATATAAAAATTTTTAAAGTCATTTTTTTTATGTTTATACATTCTTTTTTATAGATACAAATATTTAAGTAAATGCTCTGTTTATAAAAAACAGTATTAAACAACATTTACCGACCTGAATGTCCGAGAAATTTTCATAGAAAATATTTGGCCTCCCACAGGATTTGAAACTGTATCCTATACGGAACCGTCATTTAGCTTGACATGCCTTTACCGATTTGGCCACAGAGGAGCGTTCGGTTAGCAAGGTCGAATTTACTTCAAGGCACGTCAAGCTAAATATATCTATAAGAAAAATGTATAAACATAAAAAAAAGTCTAAAAATAATTGGCGGACTTTGTCCATTTCATAATGTGTGACGTCATATATATATATTAGACCGGAACGTCCGATGATGACATTATATTAACATTAAAACAGCATAATTGCATATTAAGATTTTTGTTTGTTTTTTCTGTATATTTTTCTTCATACTGTCGGATCTATATCCATATATTTGCTTATATATATATATATATATATATATATATATATATATATATATATATATATATATATATTACAATGAATCATTCATACTAAAAGCAAATTAATAAAGTTAATGGTATAAAATGGCGTAATCCACTTTAGAGATGCATTAATCTACTAATCACTCGATGAATGTTATGATCCTTGTTTTTAAAATTATAAGCTGTATAAGGTCTTTTTTAAATACGCAATACTTTTCGACTGTACATTCAGTCATCTTCAGACATGGAAATTATTTTGTTTTTGGTAAAATTCAGGTAGCATCCTAGACAAAAAATATATAATGGGAATTGAAATATGTTTTTTGATATGTGTTATTGATAACGGATACAAAATTTTGGGCGTGCAGTCGCAACCCTAAGGCTGATTTTTTATTGGGGGGATTTAATGAGTGCGTCTTTTAATTGGAATTTTTAATATGGATCTGTCAATTTAAATTTCAATGTAGGTAATATCTCAGTTGTTATCCCGAAAATGCAATATCGGGTCCTTTTAAATCAAATATGTGGTGAACTATATTACAATCAATCATTCATACAAAAAGTAAATTAGTAAAGTTAATGATTAAAAAAGAAGCAAGGATCATAACATTCATCGAGTAATTAGTAGGTTAATGCATCTTTTTAAAATTTTGTTAGCGAAGGGATCATTTTATATCATTAACGTTACTAATTTAAATGTATGAGTGATTATTGTGATATAAATTGAACTGCATCAGATATTTATATATATATATATTTTATTTAAAGACGTTTTTTTTATATCATATTTAAGCAAATTTCTTTGTTTAAATTAATAAAATATTTCAG